TTCCTTTTCTGTCTTTCTTATAACCATAGTGGGCTTCTTTCCTTGTGGGGTCATGGTCCTGAGGAGTGTTGGGAAACCGACCTTTCACAGAGATGGAAAGGTAATAGGTCTAATATCCCCGTTTACAAACTGTGACTTGGAGAGGGAAGGCCACCTGAAGTCACAGCCAATAGAAGCATAGCTGGGACCAAAGTCAGGTTTGCCACCTCCCAGGCTGATAGTCTTCCAACCCTAAGAGCTGCTGCAGTGATCAGCCCTGTGCCTGACCCCTTCCTTCTAGGCCACAACATGGATGGGGCTCAGGCCCATGACTTAGCAAGCACCATGGGCATTTGAGGTGCTCCCAAGGGGCACCATGGACCCTCCAAACTCCTTCTGTGCAGCTCAACTCTGCTGGCTGCTGATGCTCTCCAAGGAGCCAAATGTTAGAGAGTGCGCGGCATGGATTTTCCACTTGAGCTTGTCCTCATTGGCCCTGGGTCAGTGTCCTGCTTTTCTATAAATCTATACTGTCCTTGAGAACTGGACTGGCCCAAGTCATGCCCTTCCCAGGGCTGGCCATAGCAAATTGAACCGCTTGGCCTGGCTGTCAGCCCCCTTTCCTACTTTGCTTCTGGTGGTAGCTAGGCCAGTTATCCCCACACCCTATGGAAGCCATGGCCCCACCCTGAGCTCACTTATTTGCCCTCTGTATCCTTCCTGCCAATGTTCCCCTCAAAAACCAGGCTTGTCAAAGAAACAATTTGGAAATGGCCCAAATGTGCACCGATATAGGGATGCAAAGAACATCCACTCACAGGGAATATGCAGATGTTGACAGTCTCCCTCTGGAAGCTCAGGAATAACATGGGACAGACTCGGGCTGTGACACAGTGAGAGGGGTTGTCCAATGGCCATGGCTGTGCCCAAACCTGCACTTGAAAAAGGGCCTGCTGGGATTATTTTTAAGGTGGTCACATAGCTGTCTTAGGAGGGTGAGGTCGTAACCATTTTCTCCTCTGGTTTCCAAACTTTGTATAATGCAGCTAGGTTGTTTTTATAATAATGACAACAGCAATAAAACCAGCTCCCTCCTCAAAACTTGCTTTCCTTTAATAACCCACCCTTCTCTACCCTTCACACTCACCAGAACCCACATTTTTGAGCTACACCAGGGTCTGCCTTTGAGGAGCTATAGCTGGTGGGTAGGTGACTCAGAGGTGCTCCATAGCCTGCCCCCCAGGGGTAGAGACAATATTTCACCTGTCTCCTCCTTAGCATCCACAAACACCCAAGCACACATCATCTCTCCCTCATTCACACACATAACCCTCTCATGCACACACACATTTTTCTCATGCACACTCACACCCACACACTCAAGTGCTCTCACCACAACACTCTCCCTTTGTAACCAGTTCAGTGCTAGGCCCACAATAAGGGCCCCAGAGGGGATTCTTTCCCAATACTGGTTGACTTGGTGGGGAGAGAGCTGGATTTTGGATTAACTCCCCTAGATTCATACTTTCATACTCACAAAACTATCTGAGCTCTCATCTGGCAGAGGTCTAGGATGTGATTTAAGTAGCTTATAATATTTTTTGATAAAAGCTAACAAAACCTTAGAGCCACAGTGCCTGGGTTTGAATTCTGGCTCCATCACTCACTGGCTGTGTGACCTTGACCAAGTTACTTAGCCTCTCTGTGCCTCAGTAATAATTCCTACATCCTAGGGCTGTTATGAGGACTGAATGACCAATTTTTGCAAAGCAGGTGGAACAATACCTAGCGAGTTGTACATGGTACATAAATAAAAGAAAAAAGTGATTATTTAATTGAAACCAGCATTAGCTGCCCATTCATTCACTGCCTCTCACTCATTCGGTATTTATCAAGCACTCACTGAGTTCATTACCATCACCTCACCACCCAGTAGGAAAGACACAGGCAACAACAGAAAAAATATTCTTTTAGGAAAACATGATAATTCTAAGCAGAGATTTGCACATGATTCTAAGAAAGGCCAAAGAAAGAACATTTGTCTATTACCAGGTAAACTTAAAAAGAAACAAAAACAAAAAAACCCTACAGTTCAATTCTTGAATCCATTTAAAACATCGAATTTGGTCTAATTGATTTGTGAATTTAGACCAAGTCTCCATACACACTAGCCTTTCTGGAAATATTCTCATTCAGTGCCATCTCTTCAGCCTCTCTAGGTTCACCCCCAGTCCTCTGTTAATCGGTGGTGAAGGGAATATGGGTTCCATTGAACCAACCCTCAGTTATTTTTAAAAAACAACTTATAAATATTTGGGAGGAGAAAATGGAGAAGCCCCGTAACTCCTAACATCTCAACTGATGAAATGGCAGCAATTAAATTTTAAAATCTTGGTTTCACTCAAACCACGTTGTGAGTTGGGATACGTACAAGTTGGTTTAAAAACTGTTGGAAAATGAAATTAAGGCAACACCTACTCCCTCTCCCATTCAATTCTTGTGAATGTGTCGGCTTTTAAATGCACTGAACCCAGTCAAGCTGCCTGAGACCGTCGACCCCACGGAGTCCAGATCTTCCGGCGAGAGCCCTGCAGATCTTCCCGGCGGCGGCGCGGAGGCCCACCCGCCTCTCCCTCCGTCTGCTACTTACGTGCCCACACCCTGCAATCGGAACCACTTTAGAAAGCGTAAGGCAATGGGAAGTGGCGGCTGTTACTAGCTTCGGGCCCGACTGTCCACCCCTACACCTTCCTTGGCGCACACGGCCCGCGGGCTGCCCCCACCGCCCCCGAACTTCAGCAGGCAGACGCCGGATTTGCTGTCTGGCGACTTTCCTAAACTCCGAGCTCCAGAATCGTGTCGCCAGACCCGGGGTGTGAGCGAGCCGGCGCGAGAGACTGCGCAGCCCCGGCACCGCGAGCGCAAAGGCTTGGAGACCGAGCGCTGAGCTCCCACGGCGCAGCAGAGGAACTGTACCCACCGCCCGGTGCACCGCCTCCTCCCGGGAGACCGCGATACTGATCAAAGGCTCGGAGGCACCGGGCACAGTTATTTCCCCAGACTTGTAGCTTTCCGCGGAGGGGAAGGGGCAGGGCAGGAAGGAGCTCCCAAGAACAGGGCGGGGGCGTGCGGAGTGGGGGAGCTGACAGGGGCCTGGGGCTGGTGGGCGGGTGAGGACCCCGTCTCGGGAGCCTCCAGTCCCCGCGCCCGGGTCTTCATGGGAGAGGTAGGAGGCAGAACCAAGCTTGGACTCCCAAAACCTCAAGTGATTTCTCTGTACAGAGCTGGTTACCCGGGTGGGCGGACCCCCGCCTCCAACAACGTCCCGGCAGCTTCGCCACCACGATTTCCTTTTTCACCTGGGTTCTTCCCCCATTCACTCAACGCCGGCTCCAAAGGTCCAGGGAGAGGGATTTGGGTTGCCCCTCAAACCCTGGCCGCGCTCGGACCTGCGCTCAGCTCTGCCCAGTGATCCCCGCCATCACACCCACAGGCCACCCACGTCCCGCGCCGGACCAAGGCTGGGGGTGGCCGCTCTCGAAGGCTGACCGGCTCGCTCTTACCTTGAAGAGCCAGAGCTGCGGGCGCCGTCCCATTCTCAGGCTCGCTCGGTCACCGTCCTGGACGCCTGGGTCCCTCGGACATCCCAGAGGAGCGGGCGGCGGTTGCGGGCTTGGGCGGGCGGAGTGAACGGCGGGGCTCCTATGTCGCGGCCCGGCCCGGCCCGGCCCAGCCTGGCCCGGCCCGGCGGGCTCTCGCTCTCCCTTTCCAATG